GATTTTTGGTAAATGGCAAGCCATTTTATCTTGCTTTGACTTCCAAATTTTGCCTATAAAAGGGGTCGAAAACCCTTTGGCAGATTACCTCTCACGAGAGTTCTTACTCTCAAAGAAAAAATCTCCCTAACCAATCTCCTTCTCCCAGTAATGACCGGAAAGAAAGTGATCGAAAAAGGGAAGAAGCCCAATGCTTCTTCAAGCACACCTACTCCAATGACATCCTACAGCTATGCGATGGATGCTGGTTTCACATTGGTGACCAGATCTAAAGCAAAGCTTTCTCAAAACCAGGCGGAGGTTATCACTCCGACGAGGCCTTCTGCCTCTTCAACACGGCCATCTGCCATTACTCCATTGAGACCTACTGTCTCTTCCACTTCAAAGGGACCTTCTGTCCCCTCGACCTACTCGGACGCGGTTGTTCCCGTTCGTTTTTCTCCAATTCCTGAAATCAGGACCTATTTTAAAAAATCTATGTTTATACCAGAAGCTCTGGTAGAACCAGAATACGACGACCCGAAAATCGGAGAAGTCATCAAAAAAGCCTATCCATCGGGATTCTTTTATATCCCAGAAGATCTTCATAAGACCAGAAGGTTTTATGAATTCATTCTTGTTGATACAAAATCGGTTGAAATTACTCATATTCCGAGTCGCGATGATCCTTCGAAAATCGCGTATTCAAAATTGAAAATTTTCAAAATCATGAATCCGACGTATTAGAATCAAGACCCATACACGGAAGAGACATTTTCAAAACCCTTTGTTCCTCATTCTTACTCATACAGAGATTATCAGATGGCGTGGTTTAATGTTATTTGGTATAAAAATTACGAGCACTCATGGTTTATTCAATTCTGCCAGAATGCTCATAAAATTCATTACCCATTTTGGTTCATCAAATGGTGGAAAATCTTTGGATCAGCCAAAGATATATTTCCAGTTCCAATACAGGAATCGTTCCACTACTTCGTTCGAAATATATTCAAAACCCCATTTCCATTAACCATGCGTTTTTGCGTATACTTTCAAATTCTTTGGATTTTAACTTGGAATTTTCAAATTAAGGAAACCGAAGTCCAAATAAAACAGGTCTTCAAAACTATCAAAATCAAATGGTGGGATAAATATACTTATACCCACGCAGACATCAAAACGGTAAAGGTCTGGCTATCTGAGAATGGCCACCTTCAGGATTTATCCGAGAAGAGGACCTCCGAATTCCTTAATTCAAAATCGAAGCTACTCGCTACATTAGCCCAGACAACTTCTAAAGCTGATTTTCAAAAGCTTCTTCAAGAGGCTGCATCAGTCGGTTCGAAGTCTTCTCCTTCTATTGTAGAAGAAGAAGATGAAGACACGATTTATGATCTCAATGATCCATTTTTGGATTCTCAACCACCTTTGTAGATATCATCATCTCAATGACTGAATAGTCGTTAAACTAATTGTTAAAAAAAAAAAAAATCCGTGAGTGGAATATGTTCCCTGACATATTCCCACTTTTATGAAATCTGCGAAAAAAAGAGATGATTAAGGAAAGCTAGATATGAAAGGTTTATTAAATCTGTTTGATTGAGATTCTGATAAAGTATGTATGCATGAGGAGGATGGGAAACTTGTGAAATCTGCGCTCCGGGTAAAGATGGATGTTATCTTCCCATTGAGCAGGTTTGTTAATATTACATGAACTGCTGCGTGTTAATTCTTATGCATGATGATTGCTTGTGTTATCTTTCTTGATGAATAGGAAGAAATTATGAGCTTAGATTAGGGTGCTTGTGACTAAGTAGACTAGACGAGACCCTAGATTGGGGGACCTCTAGAATACCGTGCAATTAGACCTGTGAAATGATTACTGGCGGATCTAGAGCCTTGAATTCCAAACCTGACAGGTTTGTGAGACCAGGCATGAGAATCCTAGAGATACATGAATCCAAGTCTAAGCCACCAAATTCTACCCTAGAAAGAATAATAGGTCACCACGGTAACTGTAGGTAGCCCGCTAGAGTTGAGCAGTGTAGAGAGTGTCATCAGAACCCCCACTTCCCTTCTCCTCCGATACCATACCGTCGAGACAGAGCTCCGGTACGGTGATCGTTCAGCTTGGTAGATCCGGATAGGGAAGTGTGACAGGTGCCCAGACCTAGTGGTGATAGCTAAGAGGTCTTCTGAACAGGACTCCTGGGCGGAAGAAACTCGTCCCTGAGCGGGGGACGTGGAGCCACATAGGATGACTCAGTAGCTGACCGGCACACACGGGGTTGCACCCCGTTTAGTGGATGTATGGTCCCGTGTGAGGGTTGTCAGCTAACCTCCACAGATGATGTTCAAAAAGAGAGTCATGTATTCAGATCCAGCCATACGATCCCCTCAGATTTTCTTATGAGGTCGCGCCTCACCTCAGGATACTGATCATTTCAGTGCATAAGATGGGAAAGCCCTTTAAGATACAGAAAAGAGAGTTGTAGCTTAGATCACTCTCCTTAGAAACCCGAGAAAGACCGTGGATACCTACCAAGATAAGGATGTGAAAAGAGCCTACAAGTAGGCTGCTTACTAAGTTTTTTTATACTCACCCCTTTCTCCCCTTTTCTTTTTCAGGTACTCGTCGATACAGGGAGGTGTTTGAGAGCTGCACAGTCACAGAGGGGTGTTGTTCCGGAGCGTCAGTCCCTTGTCAGTTTTTGGAGTCTCTTGTATTTTTCTTCATAATTGTATTTCCGGTTTGAAATTTTTTATTTTTATTTTATTTAATTTTGGTGTCGTTGACTCCTTTTTCTTGTTTTAAATTTTATCAAATTTTCATCTCCAATTTTATTTTCTTTTATTTTTATTTGTTTTCAATTTTGTCTTTTTAGTCACGATTCGGTTTTTTTTCGAAGCCTCGAAAATCGGGTCGTGACAGTTTTGTCTCATCGGACATAAACGCCGGCGAAATAGAGACCTTCGATCTAGTAAGCGAAAGACGAGAAAACACGCAGAGGATTAACACAACCGTTATTTTGGGAAGATGACGTCGAGCTCAACGAGTTTAGTATGGTTTCAGAATGTGTAATAATAATGCCGACAAGGATGGGTTTAAGAAAAACAATAATTTCGGAAAATCTCACATTTTTCCATGTAGATAAGGTATTACAACACCATGGAAGAAAGGACTAACGAGCCAAGGAACACCTTGATGCACACGAATGATTACTACCAAAGGGCATCACAGCTTTGCCGACCAAGAGGAAGAATGAGTGATGAGGTAGGGAACGGGAGAACGAGATGGAGAGACGAATTCTATAAGATTTTTCTTTTTTAAAAATAAATTTTTTATTAGATATAAACTTTATTGTGGGTTTAATAAATATTGAACTTTTTAAATTCTTTAATTCACATATCTATTAAATAAATTTTATGTATGATAGAAAAATATTTATCACAAATTTCTAAAAATAGATTTTTTTTTAATTTTTTTTAATGCAATTAGTTTTTTGAAATGATTTTCTAAATAGAATAAATCGAAAGGGGATGAATTTGTGATAAAAATTCAAATAATCTATAAATATAAAAAAGGAAATGGATGTTTTATGACCATGAATGTAGGAAGACAACCCTAGTTAATGTTAGTGATGATGAATGTACGAAGACTAATGCACCTACATCACTTATAGTAATATGTGAACGAAACTTAGGGTTGTGTCATAAAGATATTTTATAGATTAAAAACTATAGGGACCTCATACATTCTGTGTGTATATATAATCGGGCTACTTCCCTTTTTACAATGATGAGTACGGATAGGTACACTATAATGAGGATCATAATCATGTCTCACATGACACTTAGGCAACTATTGACCTCTAGACGTTGCTACAGACAACTAGCTTGACTATGATAGGTCTAGGGGGTGCAACTTCGTAAACTCATCCTTAGAGGGGACAAGGGACCACACAGGTAAACTTTGTAGCATACAGGCAATCTCCCATATTTAGTTTGACTTGTCCTGGGAAAGGTTGTTAGTTAAACTTAATGTCCAAAGAGATGATATCATAATGTTCTATGAGATGATTGTGATGAGGTCACCTCACCCAAATCTAGGATATCGATGATTCACTCCCATGGCAATGTAAGCTAGTTAAGTTGAAAAACTAAAAAGTTAGTTCACCTCAGAACTTAGATATGTAGTATAGTAGATCCATGATGTCATAAAAGCTGAATAACTTCCAGACCCTAAAGTCCACATGAAAGATCGTGGTAACATACTCCGTGTGATTAGAGTCTACAAATAGATTATTTACTTAGTATGTTTATACTAACCAAAAAGTACTTTTATTTTTTAGGGGATTACTGATTGATGGTCAAGGTGGGAAAGCATTCAAGAGCTACCTGGTTGTAGATGAGGATCATCGTTGGGCGTTAATCCTCTGTGTCATAGGTTATTGTCCTTTAATTTTGTACACTATTCCTTAGTCTTTATTTTGCAATAAACTTTTAAACAATTTGACTTGTAAATGTTTTTGTTTCTGATCTGATATTATTTTCAAGCTAGTACAAAATTTTATAGTCATGTTGTGATCTTTGATTCAAAACCTCGAAAACTAGGAAGTGACATTTGTTTTTGTAGACTTTTGAGTATGGCACTGAGCCAATCATATACAAATAATAGAGGGAGCTACTAACGAGGAGGTTCTATATTTTTCCAAAGTGGTTGCTATTGCTCTATTGTAAATCAATGGAAATCTCTTAACTTTGCCCCCACAAATTTAGTAATTTGTAGAACCGTTAAGAGTTTTAGGAAAGGAGATGAGAATTAAGAATATAAAAAAGATGTTTTTCTTTAAAAACTTGATTGACATAAATTTCAAATCCATGAATTGCAATGCAAGAATAAATCCTTAGTTGCCATTCCTTTTTTGGTGTTAAAATTCTGTTATAAAAATGAAGAAAAGTAGATAACAAAAATAAGGCGTCTTAGAGAGAAGAGAAAAATTAGTTTGAATTCATTCGATATGGGATGCTTAGTGTTCTTTATCATCCTACTTTCCATTCCTAAATGTTATTCCCAATCTAAAGAGTTCAATATCATCCAATTTGGTGCAACAGCGGATGGGAAAACAGAAAGCACCAAGGTAAAATTTTAAAACTCAATTCAAACCACTTTTGTTATGTATTTACAATATTCTTCCATAACATTTTTATTTTTCTTTTTAAATTTTGTTTTACCGTACTTTTTTTAAATAGAATCTCTAGAAGCATTATTTTAGAAATACCATTTTTGAAACGGAATACAATTTTGATTAGAGTTTCTTAAGTTTTTTTTTTTATTTTTTTTATTTTAATATCTATTTCATGTCTTCAAATATCCAAACCCAATTTTTTAAACTAAAAAAAAAAAAATTTGTTGTTTTTGGCTTATTCTTCTTAATAAATATCTTAAAAGTAAATTGAACATCAAAATTTTGCAAATTTAATTTGAAACTACCTTTCGTATTACTTTATTGTAAATTCAGAAGTACATTAAAAATAATTTAAAAGAATTAAAAATAACTTCACAAAACTAATAAAATTTAACATTTAAAACTTAAGCTATTTTGTTGAAAGTAGATGATAAAAGGTTACTTGATTTGTATAGGCATTAAGTGAGGCATGGAGAGAAGCTTGTGGACATAACGGACATGGTGTAGTTTTAGTACCAGCGGGGAGATTCCTAATTTTGCCGTTGGTGCTTGAAGGTCCATGCAAAGTATCCATTGGTCTGCTTATTCATGGTGAACTGTTGGCTCCTGTCAGCAAGAATTTCGCCACGGGTGGATACTGGCTAAGTATCTCCAAAGTCGACAACTTGTTCGTTGATGGTTCTGGCAGCTTGAACGGCGGCGGTTCTTCAGCTTGGCCTTCCGACACTTCTAACCGTCCAGTTGTAAGTCCATTTTTAGGTTTAAGTGATAAAAAAGAAATTCATTTGTTAGGTTGATAGTTAAATGATGCTATCATTTTACATTTAAAAGTACACCAAAATATGCATACGTATAATCTAACGTTTGATTCAATGTAGTCGATGAAACTTTCTAGTGTCAACACTGCAAGAATTTCAAAGATAACATCGTCCAATAGCAAATTCTTCCATTTTGGTGTGCATGGATGTCGTGATGTCACGTTTGATCACGTTACAGTGATAGCTCCAGCAGATAGCCCCAATACAGATGGAATTCACGTTTCCAAGTCAAGTGGTATCAATATTATGCATTCAGTGATTCGCACCGGAGACGATTGCATCTCTCTAGGCCCTGGAAGTAAATTCATCAACATAACAGACATCCAGTGTGGTCCAGGTCATGGAATTAGTATCGGTAGCCTCGGAAAGTACCCCAATGAAGAAGATGTCTCTGAAGTCACAATAAGAGACTCCACATTTGTTGGCACAGACAACGGTGTGAGGATCAAAACATGGTCATCTTCATTTTCTAGTTTTGTTAGCAAGATCGCTTTTCTCAATCTCGAAATGAAGGATGTAAAAAATCCTATCATCATTGATCAGAAATATTGCCCTGATTGCAAGGAAGATAAAATGGTATATATATTCAAATTTGATAGTAGTTCAGTTTTAGTAAAACTATAAATGGTGAATGATTCTAAAATAATATGTGGTTCGTGGTTGACAGAGTAACTCAAAAGTGCAGATTCGAGACGTGAGATACGAAGACATAAGGGGGAGTTCAACATCCCAAGTGGCAGTAAGTTTTGAATGCAGCCAAGTTTGTTCATGTGAAAGCATAGTGTTACAAGACATTAACCTCTCCTACAAAGGTGATGGCCAACCAACTTCCATTTGTCACAATGTGCAGGGGTCTGCTTCTGGCAAACAATTTCCTTCCTCTTGCCTTTAATACTTTGTGTTTTTTTTTTTTTGTTCTTCCTTATAAGAGTGTCGGGTCGAGTAAGGATTAGATATACATCGATCCCATCAAACTTTCTTTCATTATCGTATGGATTAAGCGTTTGATGATGTTAGTTCTTGTTATTTTGATAACCCTGCAAAATTTATAGACACATTTCAATTGAATAGATTATCACTTTTTAGTTTTTACTTTTTCTCCCTACTCTTATTTTAATACACAACAAGAACTTAAGGATCCCAAATGAATTGGCTTATTGGAAAAGAGTGGATAAGGTTTTTGCGGGGGTTGCTTCCACCCTTTGATTGCACCGTTGGGTTCACACACAACAAGTGCCCAATCGTACATGTTTGTGTATTGAATGTTGAAGCTGGTTCAATGGTTGGTTTGCGACTATGTCCTATCCAATTCCGCCTTGTTCTATGGTTTTTGGTTTGACCTCTTTCTAACCTACCAAATACAACATTTTAAGATAGGTTAATAAATACGGAATTTTTTGTAGAGCATTATTATTCAGCAAAGTTGCTTCGCATTGAACCTTAATCTGGATTTGGCCATTTCTACAAGTGTTTCATGAATCTAGGCCAACAAAAGTTCCATAAAAAGTTGAATCTATATTTATGAATTATGTACAAAATTGGCCGGATTCATTTATTATAAACTTAGCAAATCGTTTTCTTTTATTTTGAATCAAATACTTTTTAAGATTTTGAATATTTATATGATTAATATATATATATATTAAATTCAAGAGATTGTATTAAGGAAATAATGTTAGAAGAAAGAGAAGATGATAAGATAAAACACTCTGAACTAATTTTAGAAATACAAGTGGGAAATGTCATTGGTCCAAAACTATTCAATGCTCAACCATTCATGCTTGATGTTGTTAAAAAAAAAAAAAAAGTTTCATGGTTCTTCTACTTTCTTCGTCTTGTAAGCCTTCATTACATCCAATTCTAATAAGTTACCGCGAGCTTTTTTTTTTAAGTTCTAAGAAGTTTTGACTCAGATTCTAGAGTTATTTGAACTTCTTAAAAGGTTTTGAAGTTTCAAGTAGTTCTTAGATGTTGTTCTTCTTTGTTGTCATATTTTGGATGACTTTACTTAGCTGTAAGTTAAACTCTCTTCGCTGTTCTCAATCTTAGTAAGCTTACTTTGCCTTGTAGTGCGTGCAGGTTGACAAACATGGTCGGACATTGGATTGTTTTTTGTCGTAAGTCCTAGGTTGCGTGTACTTCTAGATTGGGAAGTTTTGTGGATGGCTATGACGAGTTTGGGCCACAGGTAGGTGCACTTACTTTCTAACGAATTCTAGATCTAGGTTAATCCAACCTGAAACTAACCCGTGGATTCCTTCTTCCTCATCTTATTCGCTGAGTTTCTTCCTCATTTTCTCTCTCTATCTTCGTACACTCGCATCCGTTCTCCATCTCCTTTATGAAGACGGCTGATACACCCTCTGTTCACCACTAGCTTCAATTTGTCTCCCTCTATGATCGATACAACACGAACTACTACACAAGATGGTAGCTATGATATAAAATAAGGAAGCTCCAACCCTAGTCTCCATAGATCCTTTTTAGATCGAGTAGGAGAAACGAAGGCTTATCGTCTTGATTTCTTATCATGGTTCTCCGTTTCAATTTTCGTTTGACCTTCCTTCACCGCCCTAAAAAAAATATCACGTTAATGGGCCTCCCGGATGACAAACAAAATTCTCTCTCTTTCGAAGATGTGTGGATCTTGCTGACGTGAGGTTGAAAAATTTCTTGGTGGTTGAGGGTGTGAGGGGTTAAAATATCACCACTAGCCCAATAGGGTTAAGTCCAATAGGTTACGAAAATAATTTAGAAATTTTAGGAATAAATTTAGGAAAATGACTTAGATACTCTAGTAAAAAGGTTAGAAATTTCAGGAATAGATTGCTATCATCTAGTATAAATACCCCTCCACTCTACTTAGTTTATCTTCCTAAGAAATACAAAGCACAGAGTGCAGTAGTATTCTATGAGTGTCTTGTAATCTTTTCTCAATTGGTCTTAATAAACTGTGCTAGTGTTTCCCACAAAAAGTTGTGTTCAACAACCTGGTATCAGAGCGAGATTAGTGTAGGTTATCTGATCTCTTGGAATTCTTAGTATGCTTTGTGGTTGTAGCTCTGTCTGATCTTCCACATCATAAACGATTTCTTGAGATTATTAGTGTGTGAGTTTCTTTAGTGTTGTGAGTAGTCTGTGACTCTGCAAGTCTTGTATCAAAAGGGCTTGTTTGGTATTACTGAGGTATAGCCAACACGATAAATGATTTCCAAATCGTTGGAGGATTCAAGAAACTCAACAACAACAACTATCATATGTGGGCAACATGCATGATGTCCTATTTACAAAGACATGATCTTTGGGAGATCATTGGCAGGAGTGAAACTACGCCGCCAGAGGATGATTCTAACGGCTCCTTGTGCAGATGGAGAATCAAAGCAGGCAAAGCAATGTTTGCCTTGAAGACCACAATCGGAGAAGAGATGTTAGAGCACATTTGGGATGACAAGACACCTAAAGAAGCATGAGACACGTTTGTGATGTTGTTCTCAAAGAAGAACAATACACCTTTTTCTTTCTTCTTTCACTCTTGATTACCGGATGGAACTCCTCTCCCTATTCTATGGGTCTCCTCCCGGCTTGGCTCCTTTTTCTTTCTTCTTTCACTCTAAAGCAAGGTAAATGGAATAGGTGTTTGGTTCTTGATCCTTCAACTTCAAGTGTTTCAAGGCTACAACTTCTGGAGAATGAGTTGTTGTCAATTTCACAATGTGATATGACAATTGCTCAATACTTCCACAAGGTCAAGTCGATCTGTCAGAAGATTACTGAACTAGACTCGAAGTCTGCCATTGTAGAGTCTCGAATGAAGAGGATTATACTCCACGGATTGCGACCAAAATATAGAAGCTTCATTTTTGCTGTACAAGGATGACCCGCTCAACCATCACCTGTAGAGTTTGAAAATTTGTTAGCCAGCCAAGAAGTCATGGCTAAACAAATAGGAGGCATCACATGGAAGGGTGAAGAAGAAGCACTCTACACAAGTGAAAGTCGGAGCAATAATAGGTCGTCTACCAAATGTGGATACAAAAATGATGACAAAGGAAGAAGTCGTCAAGGAGCTGCACAACCTGGGAGAACTCAGAAGAACGACAACCAAAGTTCTCAAGAGAAGAGATTTGTAGGCATCTGCTACAATTGCGGGAAAAATGGTCACATGTCCAAGGATTGTTGGTCCAAGAAAAAATATGTCGAAAGCAATGTGGCATCCTCCAACATGAAGATGGAGGATGAATGGGATGCAGAGGTACTATGTCTCATAGAAGAGGACGAGCTAGCGCTCATGGTGATGATGAAGGAATATATCGTTTACAAGAATGACTAGATCATTGATTTAGGATGTTCAAACCACACGACTGACGATCAGAGTGGGGCAATGGAAGAGGGTGGCCCTCGAAGAATGAAGTATTACAAGACTTAGACCACATTGACAAAATTCTTCAAAAGAAGACGGGGGAGAAAACTGAAGAAATTCTCCTACAGAAGACAGGGAGCAAACTGAAGTGTGTCATGACCCAATTTTTTAGACTACTCTTGTATGCTAGCACGTTCTAGCAATCTTACGTTCTTGCATGCTAGCACGTTCTAGAAATTCTCCTACAAAAGATGGGGGAGCAAAATGGAAGAGGTTATTCTTGTATGCTAGCACGTTCTAGCAATCTTACAAATATAGCTCAAAGAAAGACGGAGTGTGTCATGACTCGATTTTCGAGACTTTGAAGCAAGGATGGCAACTTAAAACAAGTTGAAAATATGGTAAAAATTTTCATATTTAAAATAAAATGGATATAAAACATGATACGAAATAAGGTGTCTCAATCATGCCACAAAAAATTCATGGTATGATAAATGTTTGTTTTTAGAGAGGTTTCATTGTACTTTTCAATTTAAAAGTAATATTTTTAAGGTTGTAAGTTGCCATAAGTAAGTTAGGAGTTATTGTGGTATTGATTGACACGAGAGTTACATCTTTCAATGGATCATAATTACTTTAATGTTTATATTTAAGGTTATAAATAGTAAATGTGATGTTGTTTTAGTAAGAAGATTTTGGATATAAAAATGAAAGTTGCATATTATGCTTCTTTAAGCCACTAGCTTGTTCTTTTACATTTCGTGTGTTTAAATTTGCTTGCTAGAATCATTTAAATAATATTGATCAAGCTATCTTGTTGTAGAGTGATTCAAATCACAAATTTAGAAACTAGTTTTCCTTACCCTTTATCTAGATCATCTAAATAATTCGTTCCAAAACTTTCCTTTGGATTGATTCTTAATCTTTTTTGGAGTTCTTGAATAGTTTACATCTACAAGTCTTGTTCTTTAACAAAGTTGTTAAATCGAATTCTAAGAATTTCATAACAAAACATAAAAACATGATATTTACTGCATTCAAAATGAAGTTTAATTTTAAATGAAAAAACATTACAAAGTAACAAAATAGTTTTAGAGATTGTGGATATGGCTTTTTGTGGCTCCCGCTCTAGATACACTCGCCAGCTCCTAGTCACCAAAAAAAAAAAAAAAAAAAAAAGAAGAAGAAGAAGAAGAAGAAGAAGAAGAAGAAGAAAAGAAATAGTGTGAATATATGAATTAGTAAGTTACCTATTTGCAACCTCTTATACATGTGGGGGTTAAGGCACACATTCTTTATCATAATACATGTCTTGGTTCTTATCCCAATAACCAATTCGTTGTGATAATGAGTTTTAAGTACATAACATGGTTCTATTATGAGGACCTTGATTCACAGTTTTGAGTACTTAAGTTTTTAGTTATGTCGTGAGGTTCTAAGTTATTAATCATGATTCTTTATTCTTGGTTTTGTTTCTTGTCCCTTAGACACTCTCTAGGGAGACTTATGGTGTCCTATAATTGGTGAATAAC